CGCTTTCATTCAAAGCGATTTGCAGTCATGCGTGCATTCATTTTGAGTACAGGTGGTCCCGGGAATTAAACCCACTATCTTGGCGTTGCAAGCGACATGCCAAGCTTGTAGCATCATACCCAAGAAGACTCAATGCTGTAATCGCTGTCAACTGAACTATAATTTACGCTTGAGCCGACATTTGCAGCGTTTACCATGAATATGATATCAGCAAATGTTGAGGAAAATGCCTTTAAAAGGCTCATTGTCTGGCTGTCCAGTGCACTGCTCTATAAACGCGCTTTGGATTGAATCCCGGCCTCAAACTACAAACACTCCAGTTAAATGTTTAATGACACTGGCACCTCCAACCCTGAAAGTTGAGCTGTCTGTTGTTTTTCCTCCAATTTCCATCCCCCCACCCATCACTCTCCATTCTCCTCCCCACCGTCACTCCATTCCATCCTCCCCACCATCACTCCATTCCATCCTCCTCACCATCACTCCATTCCATCCTCCCCACCGTCACTCCATTCCATCCTCCCCACCATCACTCCATTCCATCCTCCTCACCGTCACTCCACTTCCTCATCCCACCATCACTCCAATTCCATCCTCCTCATACCGTCACTCCATTCCAATCCTCCCCACAATCACTCCATTCCATCCTCCCACCATCACTCCATATCCTCACCGTCAACTCCACACCCACTCACTCCATTCCATCCTCCACCGTCACTCCATTCCATCCTCCTCACCGTCACTCCATTCCATCCTCCACATCATCCATTCCACCTCCTCACCAGTCACTCCATTCCATCCTCCCAACCATCACTCCATTCCATCCTCCCACCATCACTCCATATCCATCACTCAACTCCACCGTCACTCATTCCATCCTCCTCACCGTCACTCCATTCCATCCTCCCACCGTCACTCCATTCCATCCTCCCCACCATCACTCCATTCCATCCTCCTCACCGTCACTCCATTCCATCCTCCTCACCGTCACTCCATTCCATCCTCCCACCGTTACTCCATTCCATCCTCCCCACCGTCACTCCATTCCACTCCACCCACCTAAACCCTCTGATAAGCTCCCAGACTGATGAGGCAGGCACAGGCAGCCGCCTCCACCAGAGCGTGTGGAGCTGGGAGACTCACTGCACACTGATTTCATGCACACTCACTCACACAGAAAAGAGGGGATCTGTGGAGCAGAAATGCTTCTCTTATTAGCAAAACTCATCCACCTGCACGCTACATTGAGTCCCTGGCAATTTCACAAGAAATCAAGAGGACAAACGCCCATAGCATGAGCCAATGGGCTGCTGTAGCTCTGCCGTCACTGTACCGTCAACCTGCCATTTAGACACTCTGAATCATCCCAAGTTTGGTCCTTCTCGGATTCGAGACGAAAGGTCATCTCACTAGCCACATTCCCCCATGATACCTGGGGCCGTATTCATTAGGCACCAAACGGAAGCAAACCGACTGAAACAGGGAGGGACTATCTGAACTTGTACAATAACAAACACTCAGTTTGTTTTCTGTTGCAAAGCCTTTTGCCACGGTGAGCCCTAATGAATACAGCCCTGGTCCCTGTTACTAACTCTCCCAATGGCTAGATTCATTCAGAAATGTCTGACCCGGGTGAGGTATTTCACATGTGCATATGAAAAGCTTTTCAGGGAATTACGGTACTTCAAAGGAAAGAGTAATTACGTTTGGCAAAAGAATATGTCTAAGTGACAATGAGTGATCCTGAAATAAACATGTCAGCATGGCTCTAAAAGGATCTGCTTTCTGGACTCTATCTATCTACCTTTAAAGATAGATACTCAGGTACTTTGGTGAATGGTAAGTATTTTTTAAACCTCCCACTTTGAGCTGGATGTGTCAATGTGTAGTTCATACATGCATAATCTATGATCAGAATTACTGTCTTATGTCAATTAGCCACGAAATCCCTAGTTTGAAAGCAACTGTTTTCTGGAAGCTTTGCGGCGCAATTTTCCATACATTTACTGTACCTCCACATGAGCCAGCCCCCTAGCAATTCGAGTGTCAGCCAATGACCTTCAGCCCCTTGCCATTTGAGTGACAGCTAGCAAGATGCACACACAGTAGAGCGAGAGAGAGTGCAATGACGTGGTGCACATATCTGCACATTTGTGACATACTACGCAATTTCCGGGGACTACTTTTGGCTTGTGGGCGCTACTTTCAGAACTGCTGGCTACATAGTATACAAAAGTACCAGACAATATCTTGGTGTGCGTGTATTACTATATTTATATGTGGGATATTGTTTTTCAACAGGAAAAGTAGCTGGAGTGTGTCTTTAAATGGCTATGAGGGATGTGGTAAATATCACGTTAGCCGTGGTTCATTTCATTGATGAAAGAATCACAGTACTCATTTCTTTCTCATTCTGTTCCCATAATGATCAGCATTTGTAGATATGTTGTGTTAGAGCTAAGTTGATGCCTTTAAAGCATGGCCTGATGTTGAGAGCTTTCATTTAACGTTGAGTGTCTTTAATTATAAATAAATAAATAAATGTTTGGCCATTTTTGACTGATATTCAATATTGAAAAAGTAATGAATGATCCAATGGCTGGGCAGGACACTTGATCTGAGTTGGATGCTGTCAATATCATGATGTACACAAACAAAAACACAAGAAAAGCAGCAGTGAGTGAGAAAGGCATGCGTGAGTGGAGTGGACTGAGCAAGACTGAAGCCCATATAATATAATCAAAGATGGTTTAGTATGAAGATATGTAGAAAGTGCTTCTCCAATAGAAATCCCCGATCACGATTGTAGGCGATGTCATGGCGACGTTGGCTAGCTAAACCCATGTACAGAAACACGTCATCGGGTCTAACGGTCATCTCACGCCAAACTGCGCATGTACAGGCTGTCAAATCAAAGGCACTCATTCGATGTAAAGCTGTTTTTGACAAACATGGAAATGTGTCAGTTTGTCACTTTCATGAGGTTGGAGTAATAACATGTTCAACTACTTAAGACATAGGCTCAAATCTAGGTTGTACCTTTAGATTTAGGGGAAATTAACAAGGAAGAATTTTTCACTTCTCTCATTGACTTCTCAAACCCCAAACCCCGGTCTGGTCTACTTAGTCTGCTTCTCAAGTGTTCCCGGAAGGTGCCTCTGGGTTTAGATGCTCTGTGATATCATCATCTTCAGACTCGTCAGGCTCTAATTCTAATGGCCTAGTTGGCTAGGTGGCAATATCTGGACAAGGTGTGCTGCCAAAGCTACAGCTCAGTTGTATAAGAATGGCCCTATAACGACAGTGAACAATGTGTTACATACCGTCAACCAATAACAGGCCCCAACACAGGGACTGACCCCACTTATCTGCCACTTGTGGTGTTGCGTCAGAGACACAGTGACACATACGATGACGCAAGGCTAGTTCAGCATATTTGAGAAAACCACTTGCTTAACGGCTTCCTGTGCAAGTGTGTGGTTCCAGAGAGGGATATTGACGGTGACACTAGCAGGCCCTGGCCCTGGCCTAGATCATAAGAGGTGGCAGGGGGAGGGAGGAGGGCAGGCCAAGTTGTCAGCAGAGCTAGCTAGGTGCTCACACTGCTTAGATAAACCTGGAGGATTAGTGCCCCAGTTAAAGTTGGGGCAAAGAGGATTAGCCTCTCCTCCTGTGAGGTAGCAAGAGATTCCCTGTGTCCTTCAGCAAGGCTAGGGATGGAGGGATGGAGGGAGGGAGGGGAGGAAGGAAGAAAGGTGGGGAAGGAGATGGGAAAGAAATAGATGAGGCTCTGGGCCCATATTCACAAAGTGCAGCTATAGGTCAGATTTCCCTTTTTAGATCATAATGAATAAGAGTATATAGGAATGGGGGGTGGGCGGGGGGCGGGGACCTGATCCTATATTAGCACCCCTTATTGTGAATACAGGCCCTGCAGCACTTATGCCTACTACCTATCTGAGACATATGACTGTTTAACCAGACAACAGGAGAAGACATTGGAGCAAGGTGGATGGATAAAGGGGAAAAGCTTGGAGGTGCTTTGGAAGGTAGTAAGGCTTTGACTTATGTTGAAGAATGTGTGTTTAGATTGGAGAAGTAATTGGTCAGGGTCGTATTCATTTGGGCACACCGTAGCAAAACATTTTGCAGCTGAAAAACAGTGGTTCTTTATTGTTTCAGTTTGTTTTCTTCTGTTTGTTCCCTAATGAATACAACCTTTGTGCTATAGGGAAGTGAGGCCACTGAGCGTATTTAGGAATTTAGACTTCTGTTTCCATCTGCTGGCCAACATAAGGATTGCTGTTGATTGCAGATTCAGAACAGAAATAAATCATATAGCTCATACAATGTGATAGTATGTCATATGAATAATTCATAAAAAGGCACTTTGTTGCAAAATTTACATTTACATTTTACATTTTAGTCATTTAGCAGACGCTCTTATCCAGAGCGACTTACAGTAAGTGAGTACATACATTTTCATACTTTTTCATTCTGGTGGGAATGTATAAAGAATTGTATAAAATAAAAACATTGAAACACATAGGAAGATATTCATCCAATAATGTCCCAAAAAGGCCTCAACAAAACACGATGGAAAAACTGTGTTCATTTACAATCTTAAATTTACATAACATATTCCTCACTGCAATAGCAATGCCTCCATCTTCAAAACCATTCCCTGGGTGATATTGGATCAGTAGCAAATATTCCGGTCTTAAATTAAGGTATATTTTCATTTTGGTAGAGCACCAAACTTCTAAAAAAAAACATATCTACATACACTCCACAATGTATTTATTTGGACAGTGAGGCTAAAACTTTTAATTTGGCTCTATACTCCAGCATTTTGGATTTGAGATCAAATGTTTTATATGAGGTGACAGTACAGAATGTCACCTTTTATTTTAGGGTATTTTCATACATCTGTTTTACCATTTAGAAATGAAAGCACTTTATGTATCTGGTCCGCCCAAGGGCACATCAACAGATTTTTCACCTAGTCGGCTAGGGGATTCGAATCAGCGACCAGGTAAAGATGCACCTTCCCCCTGGGTTAAAACCATCAAGTAGTATCCTCAGGTAGAGGAGACTGGTCATCACAGCAATTAATGGTTGGCTTTGAACATACACATTTTTTGAAAGATAGGAATCTAGCGTTAGATTGTCTTATAATACTTAAATTATATATTTGGCAACAGAGTTTTGTGCAAAGTGGCAAACTTTGTGGCCCAACACTTTTTTTGTCAGTCTGAGTATGATGACCTTCGATCTGCAGGTTCTTAACATTGGCCCTCCCTGGGGTGCTGGGCTCTAGCCCTCTGCACAGGGTCAGTGTCTGGAGGTCAGTGGCTCCATTTCCAGTACTAGGTCACGTGGTTGCTGCCCTTTATTCTGCTCCATAACCCGCGGCACCATCGTGGACCAACGATCTACAGGAGGTTGGGGAACAAAGGTCAAAGGTTGGCAAATGTGATTTACCTTGCCCTTATACACTGTACTGTATATTTGTCTTTGTAGACTGTGTATGTGCATTAGTGCACTTGAGCATTTATTAGAAAACAAAGTATTAGAGTGTCACCTCTCCTCAGGCCACGGACGGTTTGATGCACTGTACTGGAGCTTGGGAGGGTTTCTGTTATGTTCTTGCCCGGGTCTTCGTTGATTATGGCCAGGTTCTGATTCCAATGGCACCAGTTGACCTCGTCCACCCTGGGTGACCACAGAAGATGTTTGCATTTTGTGGAATTAATCTTTTTCACAAAATATAGCATATCACAAACGGCGTCCTATAAAGAAGACACTGGGCTGTCTGACTGACTGACCAATCAGACACGTTTCTCTAGTGCAGAGAGGGGTGAGAGTCCAGAGAAACGACTATGTGTACCTAAAGCACCAGCGGCAGTCGGGGGTGCCGTCCCAGTTCTTCCCCACTGTCACCATCTCCCCGGACCGAAAGGACTTCCGCAGACACACAGGGAAGGAGCGCTCAATGTCCAGGATGGTCGTAGCCCACTGTCATTAAAACATAACGGCAACTGACATGTAGTAGTGTTTTTCATAACATAGGCCTACTTAATGTGGCTCTGCCTAGATGATGCACTGTGCATAAGGCCATCAACAGAGGATAACAGGGTTGTGTTCATTAGTCACCAAAAATAAGACAGATTTTCTGCACTTTCTGTCCAATATGAAATGCTAGTTTTTTGTTTTCTATTGCAAAACATTTTCAACAATGTGCCCTAATGAATACAACCCAGGCGTTCACCAGGGAACCTGTCCATCAGCTGTCCTCCTCACTAACCTGCAGCTTCCAGATCTTCTTGCTCTCCTTGGACACCTGGCTCACCGTCTCTCCCATCAGAGCGATCAACATGTTGAGCAGTAGAACAAAGCTGAGGATGATGTAGGTGACCAGCAGGATGAGGAAGACAGCCGGGTACTGAGTCTTGCTGACCATGTCCAGATCGCCCATACCGATGGTCAGTTTGAACAGGTCCAGCAGGAATTTGCTGAAGGTGTTTGTGTCCCGGCACTGGGGGTAGGTGGGGCAGCCGCCTTTCTCCGGACACACCTCTTCCGGCCCGGGGCACACCGTCAGGAGGGACACAAGAGCTGGGGAGAAGATGGGAGACATAAGGAGATGAAGAGGGAGGTTCTCTTCTGTTTCAACTGGTCAACAGACTGCTGAGAAGAAGTGCTGATTAGAGGACACTGTACCTGACGCGTATCCAATCATGAAGAGCAGGTAGACCAGTAGAAACCGGAACAGATCTTTGAAGAGAATCTGAGAGCCAAAGAAGAAGGATAAATTGTGATCTGCTGTCTAGTGTCCAAATAGTCCATATTCATTTCATATTCAATGTGATGGATGAAAGAGTGAAAGAGTTGATACCTTCTGTATCATGATGCTGTAGGTGCCGGTGAGCTTCAGGCCTCTGGTGAAGTAGAGAGTGTTCATCCAGCCCAGGACCAACGCAAACACCATCACAGCCACATAGGCCTCCATACCCGACAGGTAGAGGGCCGCAGTCACTATCACCAGCAAAGAGTAGATGAAGCTAAAAAATATATAAGAGTTCGGCCATATTCATTTGCCCCAAACGGAAGAAAACGGACCGAAATGGGGAGGTACTATCTGAACATGTCCAATAAGAACATTCCAGGAAACAGCAATAATCATTCTCCTACCTACGTGATAGATACAGATAATATTTCTCGTACATGGGAGTGCCATTTGGCATTTAACGGGCACCATGTAGGCCCTCGCAGATGCAGTGCTAATGATGAAAACAAACATGCTTCGGAGCAGCGGTCAACATCCTCCGCTCTTTGTTGGGATCGTAGGTTTAATTAAAGAAGATGTCAACTATAAAACGTACCAGGGAAAGGGGGGCTTTAATGTGGAATTAATTAGACGACTCAATTAAAAAAGGATGAGAAATAAGCCTTGTGTACAAGTCAGAGGGAGCTACAGAGGGGGGGAGGAGCTGGAGTCTTACTAGAGCAGCTGAAAGGATCCATTGACAAATATGGAGTTCACCGCAGGGCATTTCTTCAGTAAGAGGTCCTTAATCTACAAAGCAGAGAGAGAGAGAGAGAGAGAGAGAGAGAGAGAGAGAGAGAGAGAGAGAGAGAGAGAGAGAGAGAGAGAGAGAGAGAGAGAGAGAGAGAGAGAGAGCTAGCGCTATAGATTATTGCTTCAATGAATGTCAGAAAATAAACAAGATACATTTACAGGGGAGATCTAAGATTTATAGCAAAAGTGTGTGTTTGTGTACACATTTCGAGTCACCTTTGAAATAAGTTGTTTATTGTAGAGTCAACATTCAAAGCTGTCTGACTCTGATTGGATGCTTCAACCAGAAGAAAAAACTCACGTTGGTGAGGAAGAAGAAGACTCCAGAGCACAGGGTGACAATCTCCCCTACCAGACGCAGGTAGTCTGTGGAGGTGGTATAGGGGTACGGAGGCTGGGCAGGGACAAACAGAGTTAAAGCTTTGCTGGTGGTGACACCCATACTGTTTTCACAGTATACGTATAGTAATATAATAATAATGCTGACACTTTCATCCAAAGCGACTTTGTATAAGTACATACATTTTTTGTATTTGTATGTGAGTTGTTGGGAACATACGTACCGTTCCCTGGGATGGGCGGTAGTAGGCCACCAGGGTGAAGATGATCATGGTCACCAGGTAGGACACAACACTGATGTAGAAGGTGACGGCAGCAAACTTCTGCCACTTGGCTCTCAGCAGCTCGTTGATGGGCTCCACAGCCAGCATCTCATGGCGATTCTGTGGACAGTGCAGAAAGACATCCAGTATGGTGTGAATGAGACATCACCTTATATCTTTCCTAGGCCTATCTCAGTAAAACATCTATTACAGGTAGAAATAGAAAAACACACGTAGCCCCTGTCTATCACGCCCCATCTCATATGCTTAGGCACAAAACATGCACTGAAGACTTAAGTTAGCTCCCAGAGCTTTAAAGCCCAGGCTTTAGCTCAGCCTGCTATCACACACCTCAATGCGGCTGTTGTAGACCAGGATCTCTAGCACAGACACCTCCTCTCCACAGGTGTCCAGGGAGGAGAGGTCGTACAGGGAGGAGTACACGGGGCCGTATGCCCAGTCCTTAAACTTCCGCGAGAGGTGACGCGCTTCCTCGTCCTTGATCTCCCTGCGAATGATGTGCTGGAAAACCTGGGAGAAAATCATAATAACGAAGTTGACCTTTTTTGTCTGTTTTATAATGGATGTGATTATATTTTTCTGTCAATAATACAATACCTAACCCCTCGAAGCACCACGCAATAGCATTCCCATTGGCGTTGCTAATGTTCCTCAAAATATCCCTTTAAGATTATAGTTCCACATACACGTGATATATGTGTTCGTTCTCAATCTCACCCCAATTTTTCCCAGCTTGGCCGCCATCATGAGGGGCGACATGCCATCATTGTTGAGCACGTCCTCCAGACTGCCTTCTGGGTAGAGCTTGGCACACTTGGTCAGCAGCACGTCGTACATCTTGGTGAGGAAGCGGGTGTTGTCCCGAGTGTTGTCGGCGATGTGCACAAGGGCGTGCAGCACTGTGTTGCCGCGTGAGTCCTGCCGTCGAAGGTCGGCCTTCTTGTGGGCATTCTCGGTCAGGTAGTGCACCATGTTTGGCTGGTTGGTGCACGCTGCCAGCGACAGAGGCAGCTCGCCTGGCCAAAGAGATACCGTCAGAGACACACAGCAACAAGCACATACATCAAAAGGATCCCCTTTTACGATGGAACCAATAGAAAAGTCCCAAATGTGCAACCCCGCCGACCTGGCAGTCAGGCAGTCTCTTTCCACTCTAGGAATTGATGCAAGTTCTTGTGGAACAGCAAAACACTTTAAGCATGTCTTTGTAAGGCTCTCTAAACGTGGATCAAAGATTGGACTTAAATTCTTACACCGAAAAGAGCACAATTAAACACTACTTGTCTGAGGGAGGGGCCCATGTCTTGAAACTAGTGGGCCAAAAGCAGCTGCTGAAAACGAGCCGTTGCCATGGGTGACAGACTACCCTGTCACCTCTCATGGGAAACGCTCCTCTTCATGGATTTGCACGGGTGCTCGTGGAGTGTTAGCTAGCGCTAAATCACATTAGCTGTCGCCTCTCTGCCAGGTTTCCTGTTCACCTCAGCACAAAGCTCCGGTGCGGGATTTGGGAATGATTTGGGAATGACAGTCACACTGGATATCATCCCTCGGGTGATGAGCATGGAATTTAATGCATTAATACATTAACAATGACAGTAGAGAATATTTTGGGGATATATTTGCGTACTAAAATATTATCTCTTTCTACCTGTATCTCTATCTATGCCTCTCCCTCCATCTCCTTTATAACCCTTTCACATTCCTGAGCCAAGCAGAGCTGTAGGGTACTGCACTGGCCTGGTTATGCATCGACCATAGTTGCCGACAGTGCTTGAAAGGACTATGTCAAGGTAACGTATCCGAGCCAGCACAGTGCAGTTCGCACAGTGCAGTTCGGTTCGACAGGATAGTGTGAAAAGGGTATTTGTTTGTTGAACTTGAGGCTGGAAGGTCTAGTTGAGGTGAATGGGATGTAGTCTACTCTGGAAATAGTCGAATGTTGAGTTCAGGGTTGAGAGTTTCAGGGATACTGTCCAATCAGCAGAGGGCAGTATGGAGTGACATGTTTTATTTGGAGGCTTTCTGTCAATGTACTCTTGACCAGGAACCTCGGTGAAGTCAGCAAAGCATGGGCAGCCCACCCATCTGAAGTGGAGTGGGTATGTTTGCTTTTCTTCAGCAGCAAGACACAGACACCTTTCACCAAACTGCTCAGAAATACTTGTTGAACTTGTGACATGTTTTCTTTTCTTTTTTGGAGATGACTACTAATAATGATATTTTTGATGATATGACTTCAGACTAGTTTTGGGTGATTATAGAAGTTTACCATTGGCCTATCGAACTATTCTGACTGTGTTTGCCCAGCCCAAAACGGCCACGTAAAAAGTAAAATGTCAGTTAATTTTACCATGGCAACTGAAAGCATTTTCCAAGAGAAACTAAGCACTACCTTAGCTGTGGTCCAGTAAGTATTTACTCCAAGTTATCCTACTGTGCAGCGATCCAGTCTTTATAGCACAAACCTTTGGGCATGTACAATAAAGGCACACTGAGATAGCTAGAAAATTACTTTTCAAGTGCACTACTTAAAGACACACTGACATGACCTCACAGTGTGGGGAACCAATGGCCCCCTGTCATGTAAAACATCAGACATATCATTGAAAACCATGAGAAATAGAATATAACTTTACTAGTATCGAAATACTGCCAAAGTTCAATAATAGACTAGGAGGGCATGAATGTTACTATACATAGCACCATATGGATACCTAAGAATTCTCATTATGTGATTAAACCATACTCCTGCAGTGTACTGTTACTTTAAGCATATTTAAAATAGATCTTAAAACACATATTTTTAGCTTTGCTATTCCTTAGGGTGCTTTTTAGTCGTTCAGTTTTTATTGTTATTCAATCGTTTTTATCCTCTAATGTTTGCTGTGTAGTAAATATTTAAGTTTTTATTTTCATTGTTTTTATTTATTTTTTAATTGTGAAGGACATTGTGTTCCATTCCATGACTGAAATGTGCTATATAAATAAAGCTTGATTTTATTTGATTAAGCTCCTGCTGACTGATAACTTTGGTTCTTGGTATGCCAATAAAATATTACCTCTTGAATCTGAATCTTACACAAAGAGTTTCTGTAGACAGTAGAATGGATCAGATCTGATTCTACCGTTGTGGTGTCTTACCAAAGTAGAAGTAGCCCCCCTCGTCCCTGGGTTGGAAGAAGCGTCCCCGGGCCTGAGCGTGGACATCCGCCCCTTTCTCCACAAGCAGCTCCACATACTGCTTACAGCGCCTCTCGATGGCGATGTGGAGCGCCGTCTGGCCTGGCGACACACACATTAGTCAGTCAACACCAGTGGCATGTATTCATGGATGCCAATGGAAGCTTCCCCCAAAAAATTGACCAATAAAATAAAAAAATTAAAAAATTATAATGTATCTTTCGTCTCTCTGTGTTTCATAATTTTCCTTTAATTCACAAGAGGCTGAATGTATCTCACAGGAGAACGCATCCGAGCGAGCGATACAGCGCCCCTCTGTCTCTCTAGATGTAGGCCATCTATCTGATGCTGTCTGGTCCAAACGAGTATGACATTGTTGCCGCCCGTAGCACTGAAGGCAAGGGAAGCCAGCGAGCATCTGGCCTCCCTTGACAATTTTTTTTATTTTTTTTTATAGCCAATCAGTGTTGAGCTCAACTGTTAATGGTCCTGGTGCACCAAAAAAAAGTGTCACGGGAAGCCAGCTTGGATTTGGCATCACTCCTATCAAATCCCATTGAGAGCATATGTCATTGACAGAAAAACTTGAATTGTTGCATCTCCGTTGTGTTGATGTCGTTCGGTGACTAGCTAGCCAGCTAGCTAAAATTGGCCCTTTCCTAAATTAGCCATGGATGGAGATAGGGATTTGGACTTGTGGTTTTACTTAATTCTCTGTACTGGCCAATGATTATAACGATGATTCTGATCCAACCATTAATTCATACATTGTTGTGCCCCTGGCCTGAGAGGATGGAAGTTCAATATGTAGCTAGATGTAGAAGGCTAATGTTAACTTCACTGGACAGAGGTTGCTATATACGGTTTTGTGATAAAACAAAGGTGTGGTTGTGTCTTCTTATTGTCTCGGCCTTTAGGCCTATATATCACGGTTGCAAGGCATATTAATTAACAGGTTAAAGAGCAAACAACGATATTATCACAACACATAGGTTGCAATATGTCGTTTTCGGGAAGGGGGGCTTGGCTTCCCCAGTGATTTTACTCATGCACCGGTACTGGTCAACACATAGGGTAAAGGGGACAAGTGGTCGAATTGGGATAATTAGATAATTTGGTCTCTCACTGTCTACTGAGTCCCACCTTGAGCAATGAGGAAAGGTGCACTGACTAGCGGTGTCTGACAAAGACACAAACAACATCTCCATTCCAAGCCTGGAATGGAGATGTTCAACCGCTTACCTTTCCTATCCACGCTTCAGAGGACAAAGTTATTGTTGTAGCCAAGGTGATACCACATTCACTAACTCCCAGTATCATATAAATAAATGTGTATGTTTTTCTCTTAGGTTAACAAAGGAGACCCGAGTTCTTCTGCAGTGACCGAGCTGTAAATAGTCAGAGCACACAGGCATACAGCCATAAACACATTCCTTCTGGCTTGTGTATTCATTAAAGGGCCCCTGTGCCAACAGTAAGGAGACATATGGTTGCCATGGCCATCTGTCTACTACTTCAGTACTGTGTGGAGGTGGACTATGGCTGTGTCTAAAATGGCATCCTATTCCCTATATAGTGCACTACTTTTGACCAGACCACTATGGGGCATTTCAGACTCACGCAATGTGAGACATCCTGGCCAAATCCCATTTTAACAGAAAATCTTAACAACACCAACATACTGAGGTGCTTCAGGACAGGACAGGTGGTCTGTGCATCTTGATTGGGGAGAATAGGGTGACAGTATTTTACACAGGAGGGCTAACGGGCTTAGACCTAAGACAGTGAATAGAAGAAACAGGTGTCCTGCACTACTGTTTCCAACAAATGCCAAAGCTGTAAGGGCACATCTTTGAGGTGTAACAGCCATATTATCCACCCTTCCTCTGTAAATAGAAGCCCCATAGAGAAGCCCTGTGTTGGGCCAGAGCCCAGGATGTGTGGGCTCTTTGTGCAGGAGGAGCAGCGCAGTGGAGGACTCAGCGTAGGTAAGGCGTCTCTATTAAGCCTGCTTGTATGGAGGTAATACTGGCTATGTGGGCATAGTAGGCCGTACAGTTCAGGTACATGGAGATCATATAGATACATTATTTAATTATATGATGGAGATACAGTACCTGTGATAATATCCAATTAGAAGGATAGGATCTACTTCAATCCTAGTCAAATGATCCTACAGTACTGGGTCATGTTCATTAGTGCACGCAACAGAAAACGTAAAAAAAACACATTTTGCAATGGAGACCGAAAGTGAGCATCTGTTATTGGCCAAGTCCAGATAGTAGTCCCTCCCTGTTTCAGTTCGTTTGGTGCCTAATGAACAGGACCCTGTTTTAGTGAAGCGCTAACATGAGTAGAGACTGGTGATGTGCAGTTCACAAACTTCCCATCACCAGTAGATAGCTCACCTCTGTAGTAGACATCTCTGAAGGGCGTGTTGATGAACTCATGGAGGTTGACTGTCTGCTCTGCGATGTTCATCAGCAGAGGGATGGTGTCATTCTGACCATTGTACAGGTTCAGGAGGGCTTTGGGCAGGCACGTCTTACCTGTAGAAGGTTCTGGAAGAAAATACAACCAAAAAAAGGATGGGTGGAGGGATACTCAGAGTGGACATGTACAGTTCTGGGCATACATTTTTCGAAATACTTTGCTTCAGCAAAGTGCATTGTTAATGTGAAAAACTCTCTTGCAGCCAGGGTGACACCAAGCGCCAAGTTCATAAGCAATCAGCTACTAAACAATTTCTGAAATATGCCCCTGACTGAGCAGTAACATCCACTTTGAAGGAAATGTTTTTTCACTGTGCGGCAGTACAGGTGAACTTTATGATGCACAGAACTGTACATAGAGAGAAACACAGCAGATACATATATTTAGAGAGTTAGGCCAACTTTTAGAATTTGTTTATATTGTTCTAAGTCTAGACATTCAGTAACATAGCACTGTTTAAATATTCCCCATGTAATGTTATTGGGGAGCTAACATGGCTGCCATAGAATGTTGAAGTGTCATGTAAATGTGTCATAATGCAGAAACCGCATTGCCCCAACTCTCTAAATACATGGCTCTGGTTCCCAGTTGAGAGAAGGGGAAGAGGTTAGGGACACAGAATACACAAAAATAGAGGAAGTAAAGAACGGTGATAAATCGTTAGCGATAAGATAACAAAGGAAAGGGAAGGGAAGCAAGCGTGACATTTCAATGAAAATGGAAACGTCTCAAAATCATGAGGAACAGCCAAACCAAACGTTGAAGTACTGTAAGTTGTCTGCTTCTATTGTTGACTTTAGGTCTGTGAGTTTTTTAGCTAGTCTGTCAAGCCCACTTTAGTCCTTTTCTTCACCGAGGAGACAGTTTGCTGTGATTTCTCTCTGCTCTCTGTTATAAAGTCCCACCTTCATCCACACACAAACACACAGCCGACAGGAAGCTGTCCTTGGACACGCCTCTGGCAGGACAAAAGCTCTGACATCACAGTAGCTTCATTCTCCCTACTGTTTGGAACCAAGAACAACAGGGAAGAGAGGAGGGGGGATACTGATAGGTCAGAGATAGATAACCGAGTCAGAGGACAGAGAGTTGAACCCCTAGGGGCAGAAAGAGAGGAGGTCTGTTTACTCTCTCTTTTCCTCCGACCTTTCTGCCTTTGGCTGTGAAAGCTGACATAGGCTCATTTGAGACAGGAGATACTTGGCACCAGAGGGCTCCACCCACCACACCACCACTGGGATCATCTCACCTTTGAATTCCTCGTCGGTGAGCCTCTTGTCGTGACCCTGCAGGTACTCCAGCAGGCCTGAGAGGGCCTCCGGGTCGGCCCGTGACACGCCATCGAAAAGCAGCGTGCGGTTAAACACTTTCATCACCTTGGGTGGATCTGAGCCCGGAGGGTCCACACCTTCATCGCAGGACATCTCAGTCTTACTGTGTAGGACCATAGACATACATACTGTATACTCACATATAACACATACATCCTGTTTACTCACATATAACACATACTTTAGGTGTTTATCTACAAGACGTTAGAAACATCTGCTCTTTCCATGACATAGACTGACCAGGTGAATCCAGGTGAAAGCTATGATCTCTTATTGATGTCACCTTCTATCAGTGTAGATGAAGGGGAGGAGACAAGTTAAAAAAGGATTTTTAAGCCTTGAGACAATTGAGACATGGATTGTGTATGTGTGCCATTCAGAGGGCGAATGGGCAAGACAGGCGCACTGCTTTGTGTCAAGAACTGCAACACTGTTGAGTTTTTCATGCTCAACAGTTTCCCGTATGTATCAAGAATGTTCCACCACCCAAAGAACATCCAGCCAACTTGACACAATTGTGGGAAGCATTGGAGTCAACATGGGCCAGCATCCCTGTGGAACGCTTTCGACACCTTGTAGAATCCATGCCCTGACGAATTGAGGCTGTTCTGAGGGCAAAAGAGTTGGGTGCAACTCAATATTAATGTTTTGTACACTCAGTGTATAGTTAGGTAAATTACATTTGTATGACGAACAACCTTGCCTGACACCTGAAGACTTGCGTTCGCTCCCCGAGCCGATATATAGGCTTTAAGCTCAGGGGGCTAACACAGTTTTGTGGTGTGCAGGAGACCAGGGTTCGAACCCAGTAGGTCACATCTGCACCCTGGAAGTGATCTACTATGCTCCTCCTAACTCTACATGTTGTTTAACAATCTATGCCTCTGCATGTGCTCATGAACCCCTGTGGCCACCATAACAAATAAGTTGCATTTTCAAACAGAAACAGAGGTACCTCCTCACCCTCGTAGGAGCTTCTTCCTGCGTGGCTTCTTGTTGTTGGTGGGACTGTAGGTACCATAGTCAAAGAGTGAGTCCATGGGGGCTTTCTTGGGGCCGGGCACCACGGGTGACTCATACATGGTAGACTCCAGCAAGTCCATGGGGTTGGCGATGCCCTTCTTAAAGGCACCGTGGAACTTCATGCGGAGGTTCTGTCGGCCGTCCCCTGGCTGCAGCTGGCCTGGCAGGGCTAGATCCTGAGCCGGGTCCTGGGGTAGGTCCGGAGTTGACTGGGAGCCCTCCTGACTCTCAAACAGGTTGGCCAAAGCCGATAGATCAGAGTAGGTACTATTGGCATCAGGCTGTCCCTCTCCAACTCCACCTCCTCCTCCCTCCTCTGAGCCCAAGGACGGGGCAGCCTTGGTCGCAGCCGAGGGAGGCGTGTCCTTCTCCGTCATGGCGACGTGATACCTTCTCAGTAGAGTGGCAGTGGAGCGGCCCTAAAACACATCACAGTAAAACACGCAGGTTATAACTCCACCCAGGCTATAGGTCAAAGACATGGGAGAGAAACAGTGGTCCAAACATATCCCTTGCATTTGGTCTCACTCAACTGTGAATGACCTGGGTCGTGAACATTAAGGCACGCAAGCAGATTTTTTTTTGCCATAGAAAACTAACAAGAAGGTCCAGTTAGTCCCTCCCTGTTTCAGTAAATGTTCTTCCATCTGGTGCTTCATGAACACAACCCTGAACAACTATCACTAATTACACTAAAAACAGTCACTTTAATAAAATAAGCCTTTGACCACAGCTGGTATAAGAGACTGAGAAAATATATGTCTAAAAGTGACTCTCCTGTATGTAGCCCTAATCCTGAAGTAACCAGGGCTATGTCCGAAGTGGCACACTATTCCCTATATAGTGCACAACAGGGATTCTACCCCAAGGGCCCTGGTCAAAGTTCACTGTAGCCCAGGTGTGTGTGGATAGAGCTCTGGCATCCTGCTCATCTTGTGGGCAACATTGATGGCACAGGATGTCCACCAGTCAGCCATTTGCAGCTGCTGGCAGCCTGGGAACATAATCTGTAAATACTGAGCACTGTATTGCCAGACACTTCCTGGCCCAAAGCTCGTGTGAAGGAAGTGGTGCCGGAATTTTCAATTTGGGGTTGGAGAACAGAGTGGGATGATTCTGAATTTCCTACCAGCTTACTGACCAGAAAGAGAAGAGTTTACTGACCAGACAGAGAAGAGATTACTGACAAGACAGAACAGCTTACTGACCAGACAGAGAACATGACAGAGGACTACTTCAAAGACACTATTGTCATGACAGAGTATTTTCTCCAAAGACCAAGGCACCACTTAATTTCCTATTACGAAATATGAAAATATAAAACAATGACATTCTTCTGCCATCATCAATATCTTTGGCAAAACTCTACATCACATTGTAATGCAAGAACCTTTGTTTTGAAATCATTATATTTTAAATCATTATAGGCTTATACATAAACAACTGTTTTGAAGTACCTTATGCAAGTAACCCATTACTCCATTCCAGTAATGTTACATAACATTACTCTTCCTCTTTGTTGCAGATGTTAATAAAAAACTGTTGTGTTCATTAGGCACCAACGGAAAGAAAGAAAACTGACTGAAACAGGGAGGGACTACCTGGACTGGTCCAATAAGAAACACTCATTTTCGTTTTCCATTGCAAAACATTTTAAAACGTTGAAATGTTTTAATGAACACGGCCCAGATTATTTTCCAAGCAGGGAAACAAACAATCACCACCTGACAGAGTCTGAATGGCTACACCCCAAAGAGTGCATTTTCTACTCAGGATGATAAGATGACAGAAACAGAAAGCTGGTGAAGACCTTTGACTCTTCAATTAAGGGAATACCCAGGTGTGTTCTCTTGGGGTCCTGGGATCTATTCAGATGGACACTTAACCTCTCTGTACCTCATTCATCCCTTATGTCACACCGCGGTGCTGTATTCTTCTTCAGGGGAAACTCGAAGTGACGCTAAAAACAAAATCTGTGTTAGACCAAAAACTAGCAGAGAGGGCAACTGGCATTAATACAGACGGGTTGACTGGCAGGAGAGCATGACAGGGCAAACTGATGAAAGAGAAGGGTGTCACAGCGAGGTGAGGTTCTGGTCCACAGTCACTCCATAGACTGCTCTATTTGCCACTATGAGTGAAATGTGTCTTGTGGTTGGTGTTCTGGTTACCAAATATTGCTGTGGACAAAACCAGATTTATCCTGTGGGGGAATCATTGGAAACCCAAGTTAAGGTCTCCAGCCAAAATCAACCATACAGCTGCGGGTCTTGTCATGTCTTCTGTATCAGGCCTTTACTATGCCACATCACCTTTTCTTTTCACAGACACATGTACGTGCGCAGGCATGCCCGCACAAATACACACACACACACACACTTGTGATGTTCGGGTTGACTCATAACCCGCAGACCGGTTTAGGGCCATTAAATATTGTGTGGATGAAGGGCGGGTGGGTGGCGGTAGGGTTGAATAATTAATAAAGAAAAAAATACATATAATTTAATCTAGTGCAATTTATATCTAGGCCCAATGTTCCCTCGAGTGTGGGTGGCTCATATGACGGTGTCTGCAGTAACGTAGCAGGCATAAAATAAATTTACATCAAAGTTGATACTGTGATATTTCAAAACGTTTAAAACCATGATTTCAAAAGTCTCATTGAATGTAGGCCTACATTGAACACCACACATTAGCTGCTACTGTAGGCTGAATGATAGAACAGCTATTTCTATGTTAAAATGTTATGGGATGCATTTTCTCCATTGTTTTTTATGGTAGGCCACTCTGGTAGGCCTACATTATGATCAAATAGCCACAGTAACATAGATGGCCACTGTTAAAACTCTAACTTCAAGCGGGTACAGCCTCAGTGTTCACAGTAAACGTGCACTGGAATTTGCACAGAATTTTCACAATGTTCAAGTTTGCGCTCAGCAGACCTGAAATTTGCTCAGCGCCCCAAAAAATGTGAAGGAACATTGTCTAGGCCTATAGGCTACATTGAGGTTTTTCTTTCATTATTTTTAGGCTATCTGGCATTAGTGTGTAAGCCTAAACTTTAGGGCCTAACTTTACACCGGCAAATAGCCTACGCGCTAATCTCTAAAAGCTTTTGGGAACGGGCAGAAAAAGTTAATGTTGATCCACTGAGGCAAAAATGACAATGTCAGAGTCTAATTCAATAAGAGAAAAATGGAGAGTTGAAAATAAAGAGAAGGGAGGGTCAGAAAAGTAATGTTTGGGAAAGAGTTGGTAAAGTGGTAAAAGAGGATGATAGCAGTGCCTATGTTATGTGTGACAGTCACAAGACGTGGACTTCAAATAATCCCATGACACGTTAAGGGAACTGTAGCCTTCTGTTCAGATAGTTTAAATGGAAACTAAAATCTGGACACTGACTGTAGGTCTATAACCTCTCACATAGTGTTAATATTAACTCCTGCCTAATTAAGCATTTCTTGTAGTAAATTGATACACCAAATGTACATTTTGACTTGGGAACAGGAGTGGATAAATATGATTTATTTATTTCAGCATCTTGAGAGCAGTGGCGGCTGGTGAAAAATATTCTCGGTGGGGCTGTGCCATACTTTTTTTTTCCTGTAACCATCGCGATATATTTTAACACAAACTGCAGGACAGCAGTGCTCAGTGAAACATTCAGTAATTATTTAATGCCAATATTAAAAAGTTGAGGCATTCTTACACAAAAACATATTACACAAACCCAAGCCTTTCATTTGCATTTAAAGTGAACTTTTCACCATTGGTAGTAAACAGGCAACGCAACAGGCATGCTGTCAGAACAGAGTGGAAAGTGGACAATAACATGAAATTATTATAAAGTTTATAGGAAATCTTACACTGTATAAAAGGATGTATAATATAGAAATGGATATCAAGTGGATGAACTCAAACCTTTGACTGGAAGAATAGCATACAGTATTTTATGATCATACTAAATGTGACTAATTGTTAATGTGCTCCAGAACTGCAACAATTAATTGATACAAAACAACATATATACAGTAATATTAGCAAAGACACTATTAAGACTTTCTAGAGTACCATATATAACTGGATTTTTTATGCTAAGGTCAACTATATACAAAGAAACATGCGGCCAGAGCTGCTCTGTGTGTGTGTGTCTGTCATCTTATTTGTACAGGAATTTTGCCCGTCTGTCCTTCTGAGTGGCAAACCTCTCAATGACCCTTTGATTAAAGTCAGGAATGTCCCTGACAAGTTTCTTCTCCATGGAGAGCATGGCCAGAGCGTTCAGGCGATCCTGTGTCATGCTGTTTCTCAGGAAGGTCTTGATCCTTTTCAGTGTAGAGAAGCACCTTTCTGACTCAGCAGTTGTCATGGGTGTGGTGATGAGGATCTTGAGGAGGCTGGCAGTCTCTGTGAAAGTGCTCTGAAGGTTGTTCTCCATGAAGAACTGGTACAGGGGCACTGCACCACTACAAGCCTTGAACTCACTGTTCTCATAGATGAGGGACAGTTCGGTTTTGAGCTTGGCCTTGTTCAACATGGGGTACGCCTCCACGGTTGTTTCAAGCGCTGTATCGGGGAACTTCACACTGTGTTGTGGGAACAACTCTCCGTGCAATAGTGTTGCGCTGATGAGGTGCTGGGTGAAGGAGAACCTCTCTTTGGCAATTAAGCTATTTTGATGCAAGTGATCCTGACTGACACATGCCTATGTCCAACTCAAGTATATGATTACCAAGGTGCTGATTGTTCAGGGTTTTGGCTACATACTACCAGGCCTGAAAAAAGTTCTAGGGGGAAACACTGACAATTACATCACAACTTACCTCTATAGCCAACCTCTGTTGTTCTCCTGGTCCCAGCATCCTCCGTCGCTTGATGGGCTGTTGCTGCTCGTCAGATGCGCTGTCCCCACACAAAGAGGGAATTGAGGCCCTGGGTCCAAAAAATAAAGTTTAATTTGATAACTTGCAATCAGACTTCTTAACTCACTGTAATTCCCCCTCAACACACAACCAGTGACTTTTATATATATATATAGACAGACAGACAGACAGACAGACAGATAGTGTGTATATACACACAAACTATGTCTAGTAACTGCTTTTAACCTGTGATGTACATAATTAACTGATGTTATTACGTTTTAAAGCCTTTTTCTATTACATTTGTGAGAGGGATGCAACATCATTTTGTTCTGCTGTGCACTTAGCAATAAAGTTAATCTTCAATAACAACTAGGCCTCTTCTAGAAATTGACCTGGTGGACACCTGAATAATTATTACAAACTGTGTAGTACTTTCCTGCATTATTATCAACGTCTGATTGTGTCTTCTCTTTCCTTTTAAAATACTAAAACAAATATACATCTTTCTAACAACATCTTTATCAGCCAATAGTAAATATAGTTATTTACCTGATTG